AAAAAAAAAAAATATATATATATATATATATATATATATATATATATTTAATGAATTGAACTCGAAGAGAATACACATCTCAGAATTTATTCAACCTGATAACACTATACCGAGATGATCTTTTTCTTTATCTCTTTCTTCAGCTTCTGCCATTCTTTCAAATAGAAAATGACTTATATTGAATTAATTGTCTTTACAGCCTTGGGCAAAACCACTGCCCAAAACCCCTCCGAGAGTGCCAGTGTGGGATTCCTACGTACGATCTAGAATAGTCCATCACTTTGTGCCTACCCTGCACCTATGAAGCTGAACCCTGTAGGGCAGTGCCGTAATGGGAGTCTGTATCCATCCACACTGTCTACACCTAAGCAACACATTCCTCTTTCCTCTTCTCTTTACACACGACAGAATAGGGGGCACAATAGTCAAACTCTGCTTTGTGTTTACCTGTGTTCTCGTGATGCTGATGTATTGAGAAGGTGGTGAAGAATACATAGTCAGAAGGACATTGGAGGGTAACCTCATTCACAAAATAACATTTGTAGGGGCTTCCCTGGTGGCGCAGTGGTTAAGAATCCGCCTGCCAATGCAGGGGACACGGGTTCGATCTTCCCCTTGTCCGGGAAGATCCCACATGCCGTGGAGCAGCTAAGCCCGTGCGCCACAACTAGTGAACCTGCGCTCTAGAGCCGCGAGCCACAACTCCTGAGCCCGCATGCTGCAACTACTGAAGCCCGCGTTTCTAGAGCCCGTACTCCGCAACAAGAGAAGCCACTGCAATGAGAAGCCCACGCACCACAAGGAAGAGTAGCCCCGGCTGGCCACAGCTAGAGAAAGCCTGCGCGCAGCAACAAAGACCCAATGCAGCCAAAAATAAACAAAATAACATTTGTAGAATCAAATATATTCTAGAAGCTTCCAAGAGGAAAGGGGGCAAAAGGCATACCACTACCATCCATATCAAAAAAACAAAACAAAACAGGAAAAGGACGTTTATGCAGACGTAGAATTTCTGTTAGCGTTGTTCCTAAGGTGACTTATCCATGAGGCAGTACTAAAGTATTTTAAGTGGAAGTAAATGTGTAGTGGCAACATCATGTATTACCTGTTTTCTCCCCCAAAGGGTTTTCTGAAACACACCAACATAATTCCCCTAAGAGACATTTCAGATACGTTAAGACAAAAAGTCTTCCCAAGACTGATTTCTCAACTTGCTTCCACCTTGTGTCCCCTTGAATAAACTGGGCCACTAGGTGAGAGGGAGGGGAGAAAGCTGGGACATGGTGGAAAAACAGGAAATGTGCCCGGTCCTCCCAGCCCCTCATGATGGCGCTTTGCTTTCCAGCACATTCTGTTCTTGGGAATTCTGCACACACAGTACTCCAAGCCCAGGCAATTCTGCAGGAAGGTCCATCCAAGACGACTGGGGCCCACCTCTACGCTTTGCTGGTTAATTCATAGAAAGGAATTTCATAGCATGGAGAGAGGAGTGTTTTGAGTTCTTCTTTCACAATTAAAATAGAGCCAAATCCTGAATATTATTGAACACTCATGTAAGAGTTTTAAAGCATGTACTTACCTGGTCATTCTAGCCTTAAGCCAGGGCAAAGTACAGAATCAACAATTAAAATCAAGACATTCTTTAAACTTAATTTTCCCACTCTTGCTTTATTTCATGAGGATGAGACTATAATGCACTGTGAATTCATTGGGGGAAAAGATCGACATTTTATAACATCATCTATAATCATGGAAACCATATGAGTCCATTGGACATAAAGTTTGATAATAATGAAATATTGTAACTTACGTAGTGATTTCTACACTGGTACGATGTGGAGATGTTAATAACGATGCTCTAGCTTAAGTCTGTAATCTGAGGCCAGATAGATTTTGTCCATTGGCTTCATCCCTTGTGAGCTAAGTGACCTTGGGAAAGTTAAACCTTCTCAGCCTGAGTCGCCTCATCTGAAGTGGGGATGATAATTATATTGCCTGTTTGGAAGGTTGGATGAAACTATGCAGACGGTCTGGCATAGGAAAGTCCTCAGCAAATGTTAGCTATTGTTGTAATTTTTTTTTTTCACCCAAAAGAAAGAGAGTGAAATAAGAGGGAAGGAAAGAAGAGTAAGTGGGAAAGATAATGGGCTGGGGGCAAGGAGGGAAGCAGGAGGCAGTGTGGGGCAGCCGAGGGGGCGGGCAGCCTCCACCGCTTCCCAGCATCTATTGCAGACTCCGCTCTCAAACATTTTGTAAGATCCTCGCGTCAAGGTAATGTTTGAACACTTCAGAGCACAGTGGCAATGGGCCTCCAAGAGAATAATTAACTCCATGTGATTATCTTGTTTGTGGGTGCATTTCCTCGCATGTAAGTCAATAACATCTTTGGATTGGGACGCACTGTTTTCCGGACACTGCTGGCCAGTCCCAAAATGGAACATATGGAGGTGGTCCTTCTACTTCTTTTATTTCTGAAATCAGGTAAGACATTTTTGTTAAGGTGTCATATTTTTCTGACTTTCAAATGTAAACAATGAAATATCTCTGACCATATTCTTTGACCAATCTGTGGTTGTGTTGACCTGTTCTCTGTTTGTTATGACTTAAGGAAGGCTTTCCATACATATGTTTGCTTCTTATGCCTGGAGAAATCACAGGCATCGATCTGCAGGATGATGTCCATACAATAATTCAACAAATCTCCACTGAGTAGCTGAGGTAGGCCGGGCACATTTTTATTCATACACGCATACGTGTGTCTCCTTTACTAAGTCCAGCTTATTTAGCTGATACCATAGGTATTGTAGTAGATTTATACCCATTTTATAGATGAGGAAATCTGTCCTTAGGAAAATCACGTTATTTGCCTATTGACCAAACTCCCAGAAACCAGGACTTCAGCCAGGGCTTTCTGAGAAGGAATCTGATGTTTCTTCCCACTTTTTCAACTTTGCTTAAACCTTTGTTAAAATATTCTAAGCATGTCTTCATAGTTCTTTTTTTCTTTTGACAGCTTTATTGAGATATAATTCACATACTATACAATTCATCCATTTAAAGCATACAATCCAAAGGTTTTCAGTATTCAGAGTTATGCACCTATCACAATACCTTTTAGAACATTTTTATTACCTCCCCCAATAAACTCCACACCCCTTAGCTGTCACCTCCAACCCCTCTTCTCTCGTCTCCCTAACCTCCATCCCTGCCCAGCCCCTGGTGATCACTAATCTACTTTCTGTCTCTGATTTGCCTGTTTTGGACATTTCTTTTTTTTTTTTTTTTTTTTTTTACATCTTTATTGGAGTATAATTGCTTTACAATGGTGTGTTAGTTTCTGCTGTGTAACAAAGTGTATCAGTTATGCATATACATATGTTCCCATATCTCTTCCCTCTTGCTTCTCCCTCCCTCCCACCCTCCCTATCCCACCCCTCTAGGTGGTCACAAAGCACCGAGCTCATCTCCCTGTGCTATGCGGCTGCCTCCCACTAGCTATCTATCTTACACTTGGTAGTGTACATATGTCCATTGGACATTTCTTATAAGCGGAATCATACATTATGTTAGTGGTTCTTCATGTAAACAATGTAGAGATACTTGAAATTCAATTTATAAGTAGCCAGATAAAATTTTACGAGCTGTACTTTAAATGAGAGTCAAATACATTTGAATTTAGTGGAGCCATCTAAAGAAATATCAAAGAAAAACCAGGTTGCATAAAGAGGTTTTCATGGGAAATGGTTGTGGGCAGTGGCGCAGGGGTGCACACTCTATTTTATTATTTTTTTATTTTTTATTTTTTTGTGCACACTCTATTTTAGTCTATGGGAAGCGGGACCTGGAACTCTGGATACAGTGGGACACACCCAAATGTTAGAACAGACTTCTCTGCAGCAGGATTAACATACGTCTTCACCAACCTAGGGGGAAAAAGACCTGCATAAGCTCTTTTTGAAAGGAAGGCATTTACTCTGTCTTTCCGTGGAAGTGTTTCATCTTTCCAGTGCACTGAAATGACCAGGGAGAGGAACAAAAATCTCCTTTTACAGCTGTTCTCAGTGAGAGGCGGATAAGCAGTTTGCATTTCACAAACCACAGAGTCTTTTCTTTCAAACACACAAGCATGGGTGTACATATACACACTACCATGATTTAAAAAAAAAAAACAAACCCACATTATTAATAAAATATACTTGTTTTGGTACCAATATACATCTACATTCAGCATAGAATATAAAAACACTTTTGTTACCAAAAAAATTTGTCTAATATTTCTTGGTCAATAAATAAAGTGTATTACACCACATTGTCACATGATCCCTGGAATTAAAGAAAGAAATTATTGGGGGAAAACTTTTCAAAGTAAAAAGAAAAGAATTTATTCTCTTTTGGGATATTTCTTTGGTGTATCAGCTCCTAAGGTGGGTCTCAGCAGCTATATGCTATGAAACATACTAACATAGCATAATTAAAGGGTGATAAAAATGGAAATTTTCTTGTTTTGATACCATTTACACCCCGGCCTGCTCTACTTTCTAAGAACTCTTCAAAAGATCTAATTTCAGTCTTTATAGGATATACTTTATAGAGTTCTTGTGTTTGTTTTTAAAGTCACATCCTGATCTATAGAATTTACCAAAGCACAACTCTTCCTGGAAATGAGAGCACAAATTGGGAGAAAAATACAGGATGACAACATGGGTACAGGTCTAAAATATCTATTTCTCTAATCTCTTGATACATGTATCAAGTGCTTTTTTGGTGTATTAAACGACATCAGTCAACTTCCTATTCAAGGATGGAAACATCCATCCTTCCAGTTTGGAGAATCTCAGGTCGAGGAAAGAAGAGCAGAGGCAGGGAGAGGGTGGGCTCTGCAAACAGCTTTGTCTTAATCTAGGAAAGTGCATCACGCCCTTGTGGCGTGTGTGTTTTCGGGTGGTAAGGGATGGCCCTTCTGAGAATGAGGATGTGACCCTTCATGACCCTTCCTACTAGATAATTTTCATCAGTACCCAAACATGCTCTAGAATGTCTCATCTTCAAAAATTCCTGAGAGGACCTAGAGCTGATCACACTAAGTAAGTCAGATAGAGACAAATATCCTATGATATACCTTATATGTGGAATCTAAAAAAAATGATACAAATGAATTTATTTACAAAACAGAAATAGACTTAAAGACATAGAAAACAAACTTCTGGTTACCAAAGGGGAAAGAGCGGGCAGGGATAAATTAGGAGGTTGGGAGTAACAAATACACACTACTGTATATAAAATAGATAACCAACAAGGACCTACTGTATAGCACAGGGAACTCTACTCAATATCTTGTAATAACCTATAATGGAAGAGAATCTAAAAAAGAATATATAGGTATAACTGAATCACTTTGCTCTACACCTGAAAGTAACACAACATTGTAAATCAAATATATTTCAATAAAAATTAAAAAAAAATTTCTGAGATTTCATATGGCTTCAAGAAATGCTCCTTTCACAGCCAGATTTCTGCACAGACTTGTCTTCCCTGCTCTTCCCACCGCCTCTCTTGATCATTCTTCAGCACACTCACCCTGGCTTTGATCTCCACCCCTCCCCACAAAGTGGTCAGAGTTGCCAGGTTGCCTAATCCCATTTAGACAAACTTTAGGAAACGTTGCTGTCTCCATGAAATTAACCTCTTTTAGCCCCTCACCCTATGAAAACGGCTGGTGTTCCATCCCAAAAGGAAAGAGGCTGAGTCTCCAGGCTTGGAATAGAGCTGCCACAGCTGTCTCAGGCGCCACGTGTCTCGGGAGTACTCTTTGTAGCCTTGTGGTGGGAACATGGCTGAGGCCCCCCTCGCCACCCTCTGCAGTAGCAAGGGGGCAGAGCGACCTTCAAACAGACTCTTTGCCTCAGATTTTATGTCCGAGGAAAATCAAGGCCATTGTTTGTCCCAGGCTCTGCTGTTGTACAGTTTCCTCAGAAATGCCAGAAAGCTGTCATCATCTTGGCAAAAATGATTTCTCGTATTATTTCTAATAAATAGTGAGGTGTCACTCTACTAAGTCCAGTACAAAAATGACCACGTATGGCGGTCAAAATTTAGTCCAGCTCTTATTTATTCTCGACATCATCAACTCACCAAAGTTTTTGTATCTTGTGGTGGAGCCAGAGAATGCTCATCCCATCAGTTTAAGTAACAGTGCCACAACTAAAGTTTGCACTGTAGGAAATCGAATAGTGGCCTCCAGTTTCTATTTATACCCAGGGATTGACAAATCAACATCAAAAGTTGCCCTTGGTTGTCTCTTACTGTTCCGTCATGACATGCAATTACTGGCAAACAGATCAAATTTTTTCTTATTTAACGTTTCATACCCATTAACGTAGTAACATGGAAGTTGCTAAATAGTTCTAATCTATTAACCTAGCAATCCAGTTGATCTTTTAACATAGTGCCATCTATTCATGGAGCTGTTTTCCTAATTAAACATTTTTATTCACAGCCACCCATTCTGCTTCCAATGGAGCAGCCAGTTTTACTTCGTTGATGCAAAGCGAATAGTTTACAAATTCATGAGAATTAAACAATGGTGTTGATGCATTTATCAGTTGTCCCACTTTTATCTTGCATTTGTAGGTCTCGGAGACCCCCTGGATGAATATGTAAATACCCAGGGAGCTTCCCTGTTTAGTTTGACTCGGAAGCAGCTGGTGACAGGAAGCATAGACGAATGTGCAACAAAGTGTGAGGAGGAAAGCGACTTCATTTGCAGGTATTTTCTTGGTCACTGCGCCTACACAGAAATCCTGCTGCTTGAGATGCTATTACGTTGATCACGAGAAATTTGCTCAGGGATTTATCAACGAAAATAGGATTTAAGAGGAAAGAGGAATTTCATGGGATTGGAGTTTGGAATCTGTATTTGCTCTCTGTATCTGAAACCATACGGTTTCTTGTTAATTAGTGATCCCTTTAGAAAAATGCCCCCAAAGGAAGTTATTTAGTTTTACACATGACATCGGCAGCTATTGTTCTGAGCTCTAGTTTTTAACATTATCGTCGATAAATATTTATTGAGGATCATGTGACTGGAAGTGTCCTAGACCCTAAGGAGCCACAAAGCATTGATACAGTGATCGGTACATGGGGATATATATATATATATATATCAGTATATATGATAGATTTTTGTATAGATACAAAAGCCAGTGCTTGCCCTTTTGAATTTATGGTGTAGTCACAGAAACTGGATAAAATATAAAAATTAAAGAAAACAGCCAATGCGAGACATTGATAAGTGACATAATCAATACGTGCTCTATGAAGATTCAGAGGAAAGAACAATCCTAAGAGTTGAGATGACCAGGGAAGGCCTGGGGAGGAGGTGGGAACTGAGCTGGGCTTTGAAGGGCGAGATCTTGGTAAATACTGACCATGTGGGAGGGATTCTAGCCAGAGGGCAGCATGGCTGGGCACCTGTGGGAGGGACGATGAGAGGACCAAGTCAGCTGAAGCAAAGGTTCACACAGGAGATGGGGCAGGAAAGGAAGCCATGGACGGCTTTGATGCCAGGCTCAACATCCATGCAGGACTGAGGTACAGTGCAGGGAGGTGTGAGGGGGAAGGGAGTAGAATGCAGAGACATAGTCAAGGGGAATTTACAGGAGTCCACGTGGGCCCTCTCAGGAATGGGTTTAAAGCACTCAGTTGCTTCTTTCCAGCACAAAGCAAATATTCTGGCACTTCATTAAGAAAACTAGTGAAGAAAGAATAAAGCAGTTGAAACAGAGGGGAAGAAAAAGAGAAAATTTGGAGGGGGAGAAGGTAAAGGTAGGAGAAAACAGGAGTAGCTACCATGTTGCTGCATCCTTTGATGACACTTCATTGATACAGTGCCAAGTTGAACTGGAAGTAACGAGTTCTGAGCTCCTTGATTCATCAAGAGAGTTATCTTTAGTCTCTTCCTTATTAACAAAACTTTACTTTCCTTAAATAAAGGGAAACCGTTGTGTTTTCTGACTCTCTTCTGCAGGGCATTCCAGTATCACAGTAAAGAGCAACAATGTGTGATAATGGCTGAAAACAGCAAATTTTCCCCAGTCCTTAGGATGAGGGATGTCATTTTATTTGAGAAGAGAAGTACGTACAATGTTTTCTTCCTTCTCCCCGTTCCCCTCCCCCTTCCCTCCCCCTTCCCTCCCCCAGCCCGTTTAATGTCTGTAATTTATCAGACCAGCGAATGGAGACGCTATGGTGTAGTGAAATTGAATTTGGAGTCAGAAGATTTGGCCACTAACCCACTACGTCAACCTGTATATATGACTTCACCTTATAAGTTTCATTTCTCTTGGTTTAAAAACGAAGCGATTGGATTTACAAAATCACTTCCACCTCTATGACCCTGAAAATACGATACTGAAAATTTTATTTTATTTTTAATGAGAAGAGGGAGAGTCTACAAGTTTCTTGTGACCTTGGTTTTTTGTTCTGCAGGGACCACAGTCCTTGGCCTGAAGCCTGGAGAAATAGCAAAACTGAGGTGTTTTCAATCTGCAGTAACATTTGAATAGAGAAAATATCCTTATTTTTACTCCTACATGTTCCACTTTTTTTCAGTCATGGTCTGTATTTCCCTTAGACTCTGGAACGGTGTCTTTTGAAAATGTGCAGAAGTTGCAGTTCCTTTTCCATAGTTTCCTTGAAAACTCTAGATCTTTCGTTGTTTAGGATCACGGGTGGCCTGGATTCCTACGGAAGTTGCATGTCTTCTAAGATGTGTAAAAGTTCATTAAGTCTGTACGAAGATTTAAGTGAATAATGATGCTTTCAAAACTATTTCCTATTCTCTGTTGCTGGCGAGGTATTAAGACTATTTTGATAACAATTTTGCTCTCCAAATATTTGGTATCAGAGGTGTTGAACTCAACCAGAAACATCCTATTTCACTGATTCTTGACAATGGCTTACAACATTCTAGTTTCCCCACAAAACTCTAAATAAGATTTTGAGAAGTGTTTTTTTTAGGTTAGGATTCTATCTACACATTGGTTCATCTTCTTAGGCTTAATTATCTGTGCGTCTGCTATACACACTTCCAGCCCACTGTTTAGCTCTAATCCTTGAGTCTAAAGTGCAGATTAAGTGTGAGGTTTATCTGTTGACGTTTCTAGTTCTTACAAATAGTAAAGGAAGAGATATATGGGATTACCCACTGTCCGTCAGATTTTTTAAAAGGCTGGTGGGATACTCTGCAAAATGCTAACATTTAAACACGTCCTTTGTAAATTGTTAACCAGAGGATCACGGAGGTGACCGCTAGGCTTAGTTTGGATAGTTGAAGAGTTGCCTGTTTTCAAGGTGATGGAAAGGAGCAAAAGGTTATATAAACTCTGGTGGGTACATACAAATAAAAGAGAGGTCAAAAGTCAAAAGTCAGTCATTTTTTGGTGCTTGTTTCTTTACTGTGGAATATTGACCCACTGTTAAATTACCTGCCAGGGTTTTTCTGGGAACGGTCAGTGTCAAATTAGTTACATCTCTACTTTTGCCACCATGGCCACTGCTGCCACTTGGGTCTAAGCCGCCATCATTACTGGCTGCGCCACCGCAGTGGCTGGTCTGTAACTTCCAGGCTTCAAACCTTTAGTACCCTAGAAGACAATCGAAATACTCACCAATTGCTGCAGGGCCCTGTATTATTTAAGCCTACCTCATGTGCGGGGCTTACATCTGCCCCCCCTCCAGCAGGGCAAGCACACACCTCTTCGTCCTGGACCCCTGTCTGTTCTTCCAGCTCCTTCTCATCTCCCAGATTTCAGCTCAAGCATCACCTCCTTTGAAAAGTCTCCCCTGACCCTTGGCCTCCAAAGTACCTTGAGTTTACCTTTTTGATAAGTGTAATATATCTACTATAATAATATATCTCAATGAAGATATATCTGCCATCTTTATATAGAGCGTTGGGTTTAAAGCAGTAGCTGCTATAGGTGTGTTAGAAGTCCTTTCCCCAGATAACTGATTGATCAATTTAAAAATTTGGCTAAAGTGGGGAATCATAAAAGATGACACAAATATACCTTAAATATTTTATATTTTCATCGAAAACAGAAGCTTACATTGGCACCTTTTGATGTAAAGCAGAGGCTTTTTTTCTTTGAACCTGGGGCCACCAACAGGAGTTATCTGGTACATTTCTTGCATAAACCACACTCTAGTGACTTGTCTACGATAATTAATGTCCTTCTCTTCAAACTCATATCGACTGTATGAATGGATTGCTCTCAGTGGATACTGATGGCAATTTTTAAAACTATTCAACTCGAGTCCTGCTACCTACA